AGTGGTATAACACAGGGAAGCATTGGTCCCGTAACTTTGTTCCCAGAATCGTTTAGCAGATTTGGAACACAGATTTGAGAACAGCGTTCGAAACCAACTACGGGGGTATACATCTCATCTTGAATGGCCACTGCGACCAAGTAACCTTACCTTGTAAGTGGTCATGCAGTAGGGCGATTCAGCATCACTGTTTCGCTTCTAATGAAGCCTGAATTATCTATTATATCAATCCTTTCGGTGTATGACTACACGTTTAATTTTCCTTGTGAAACCTGTGATCCGTAGAAGCTCATATTATCAACTGCGATCCTTGTGACTATGGGTTTAGTTTTTTTTCTAATTATTTCCTGCTCTAGAGACGGGATTCTGGTAGGCAGAAAGCAACAGAATGTACCAGGTTGGTAAACATCCATCCTTACCAGTTTCTGTAGCAACATCAAGATTTATCTTTGGAATTGCATTTTCTCGTTAACTGAAGATTGCGGTGAAAAATCACGTTAAGCAGCCATCCGAGCGAGCATTGCAGCTTCCCAGAGCTCCATGCTGTAAGGTGTTTAATCTGGTCTGACGGAGATTATGATGGTAATCTCATTTGGCTAATTATGACCACATACAAATATTAACACAAGGAAGGTTTTCCAAGGCGTGGGACGCTTTTTGAAAATGGTTTTTTGCGTGGTATGGGGGCGTGAGCACTGAGTACAGAAATATGGTCCATTTCCACTAAATTGCCTTCTGAATGCCAAGAAAGAGTGAAAATTTTTTTCAGAAATTGCTGTTTTAACCCACTAAGCGTCGTTTGCTTCATTCATGGCGTCGACCTTCCGCACAGTAGAAGGCGCCAGTGGACTACGCAATGAAAATAACCTGAACGGTAGCCAAAAAGGGAGACAAATTCTGAAACATGTTGAAAAGTACGGGAAGTTTCATATGTGCTCTCCGCGGCAGAGCTGCGACGGATGGTGTACTGGATAGCGATGTGGACTTCGATCTAGGCGAATAGGCTGGGTTGATGGTTCGGGTTTTCTCGGCACTGCTGTTTTTACATTTCATGCTGCCACCTCCAGATTGGCTCCATATTGCACCAGAGCTAAAGCAAGCAAGCAGCTTGCCTGAGGTCGTGATCAGGACCAGCTAACCTCCACATGTCGGTAGAATTTGATATGTGGCACACTTCAGTGAAGGAGCTTTCAGGCTTCACACTCCCAAGAGTCCCCCTTTCCCCATCAACTCGGCTGTTTTTAATCGAGAGTTCATTCAGTTGGTAAAATGTTGGTAAATTGGTATGATATCATTTTGGTAGTCAAAAACTCGATAACATATCATTTGGTCTTCATGCATTGTATGGACATTGCACAGTCCATACAATTCTCTGAGTATTTGGACAGTAATGCTTTGATCGTTGTTTTATTTCAACCGAATTCCTTCAAAACCGATGGAAGGCACATCTAGTTTTGATGATTTCACCTTCTTTTACCCTAGCCGCCGTTCCAGGGTTTTTGTCCACTGTTCTGGTTGGTCATCTCCATTTCCTGCTCTCCTCACGATCAGTATCTTCTGCAGTCACCTCGACTTCAGCAATGTCCTTTTTGATCGCGTCGTGCCAGCCCCCCATAGCAGGACGCGAAGTCAGGGGATCGTGTGTTGGAACGGGTATCGCCCGAACCCTTCATCTAGTCATTAATCTAGTAATCTGATGCTTGAATGATTTCCTTCAGGGGTGACAGCTTTTCATACCAAGCCTAATGCTCATGGATACTTAAGCAAGAGGACGAGTTGAAAGAGAATCTGGTTCGTTTTCCCACAAAGTCCGCGGTTGAAGCCCAGGGAAAAGTTGGAATCGGAGCTGCAGTGAATATGGGAATCCTGTTATCTTTGCATCGACGAACGAGGTCGAGGACAGCTTCCATCGAACAAGAACCATATTATAGGGTTTTGATCCCCATTACAACACCTATATAGTATGAAATGAAGAGACCCCTCTATACTCCTGAGAGTGTGAAGCCTGGGAGCTTTTTCACGGATAGTGCGTCACATATCAAATTCTAACGACTTGTAGAGGTTATCGCTGGTCCTAATGACGACCATGACCAGTCAGGCACTTGCTTTCGCCCTGGGGCAATATGGAGCCAATCTGAAGGTGGCAGCATAAAATGCAAAAACGGCAAAGCCTCGGGAATCCGAACCATCAACCCAGCCTATGCCTCTAGATCGTAGTCTACATCGCTACCCCCACTCCATCCGTCGCTGCTAGGAGGTCAATCGTGGAGAGCACAGATGAAACTTCCCCGCACTTTTACATGTTTCAACATGTGGCTCCCTTTTTTTGCTACCGACCACGTTGCAGTCCACCGGCGCCTTTTACTGTGCGGGCAGTCGACGCCATGAATGAAACAAACGACGCTTAGTGGGTTAAATGGCAATTTCTGACAAAATTATTTTCACTCCTTTTTGGCATTCAGAAGGCCATTTAGCGGAAATGGACCATAGTTCTGTACTCAGTGCTCATGCCCCTATACCATACAGGAAACCATTTTCAAAAAGCGTTACACGTCTTGAAAGACCTTCCTTGTTAGCTTATATCGGAGTACGGCTTTCCATGAACCGCCGCATACTTGCTGTATTGCTGATTTGTTTTCTTGGACTCTCCACGACGTTTGAATAACGAGCTTTATCGGGCTTACCTTTCGGCGGAATAGCCTCCTTCCCGGCCTGAAGGGATGATAAAGTTTGTGGTAATCCGATTAAACGTCTCCGATGCCAAAGTTTGAAACACGCAGATTACAAGGTGATTCGAAGAAGAACCACTCGACGCATCTTTGTGGATTATTCGAAACCACCATACAGCCGTTTCAACGGTTCCGAAGTTCTTTTCAGAGAATAAACTGAACTAACTCTTTAGCGGCCCACGGTGCGACTCCAGAGTATTGAACATCAAAATGAGACTGCTTCGAATAGCATTTCTAGCAGAAGTTGATAATATTTTTCTCTGTCAGACAAGTGTGTGTCAAAGGAATATTTTTTATTCAGTTCTCAGAAGAGCACCTTCGGAATATAGTGATTGGATGAATTCAACATGTGATTCTATCCGATTTAGGGTTAAAACTGACTAACAGGTAACCCGATGACTTTCGCAGTTCAACATGTGATTTTAAAGGGAGGTTGCCGCGCACGGAGGCTGAACGGATTTCTAGAAATCATGAAGCCGACGTGACTAGTCCAGAAGTTATTGTAAATTTTGAGTCACTGTGCTAGAAGGCTTCCCTCTGTATTGTTGCACTCGTTCGATCTCGGATATGGTCCCAAGTCTTTCACGTTCGCAGTCCATTTCCACGATTGCCTTGCGAAAAGTGATGTGCAGTCCATACGAATTTTAAGGTCGACTCCTTATACTTCTACTCATAGGGCTAGGTATGATGATGGCTTTTTGGTGGCAGAACATTTAGGAAATGTGATTGAAATTCCCTACTCAGACATTTTTTTCATACAACAGTAACCGCATATATGCCAATTTTTGGATTTTTGCCGGCGAAATTTCTAAGGTGCTGAGTAGAGTTAATAAGCAAAACACTACATCTAACATTTCACAGGAGCACGTGGTATGAGGGAACCTCGAGAGTTAATAAAATTTCGAGCCATAAGATTATCCGACAGTGGCAAAGGAATAGAGTTTGGGTTGATTTCCAGAGAACTTGACTTGATGAAATAATAGAACTGTGTCTGAGAGACGCTACTCTTACCGCCCAACCTCTACGAAGGAGTTCCAAATGCAGCGTCATAGACTAGACCAAATATGGGTCAGCAAAATAGAGTTCAACCATAATAATACGAAAGTCTCACAAGGTTGGTGATTTATGGACAAAACTTCAGTCTCGAACGGGACTCGAACCCGTACTTGTCCTTTCCGGGGACCGTGCTCTTATCCCTTACACTACCAAGACCCCGCTTGCCCTTGCCTTCTTTGTTAACAAACATCAAGTCAAAACAAGTTACATCATGTAAAGCTTTCAGCTTAACGGTTCTGTGCTGATATTGGCCGACGGGCTCAACACGTTGTACGTGTGAGTGCTGATAAGCTATGGCATATAAGCCATTAAGAAGGCGAGGGCAAGCGGGGTCTCGGTAGTGTACGGGATAAGAGCACGGTCCCCGGAAAGGACAAGTACGGGTTCGAGTCCCGTCCGAGTTTGAAGTTTTGTCCACATATCGCCAATCTTTTGAGACCTTCGCTTCGCGTACTGCGGCGTTTAAATAGCAGTTAACAAACATCAACTCATAATGATACGCCTAAAACTTGAGTCGTTTTCCAGCACCATATCTGTTCAGTCGAGCGTCCAAGTATCCAAGTAAGTAAGTATCTCCTCAGAAACACTAAAAAGTTTTTCGATGCAGATGACCTAGCATCAATCAGCCGCACTTTCTTTCTCCCATCATGAGCTGCGCGGGTGGTCCAACTGACCGAATCGCATGGTTTCACAATGTCATTTCGGGGGTGTGCGAACTTATTTACGATTGAGATAAGGTTATGTACGATCGAGGATAGGCGGGTAATTAAGATACGGTCAGTCATACACAACATTATCTTGATTACGCGCCTATCCTCAATCGTACATACCTCATCTTAATTATGGGAGTGATGAAGTAAAAAAGTGAAACTCCAATAGAAAAATGGGTTCATGGTCAGGAACATTTTCAAGATCTGGTTGCGAGAGTTTTATTACCATGGAGAATAGAGAAAATCGCTAAATTCATAATTCTAATTAGTATAAGATGTCAGATGCTCCCCCGCATTCAGCCTCCATTGAGAATCGTAGTGACGTAATGCATGTGTGTAGCCAATACAATGACTTGTGTGGCCAGCCGACGTTTGAGTTTGTGCTTTTTCCCCCAACGACTTCGGTACCAATGAATCGACCCTCCATGGTCAGGATTGTCTAAAAATCTGTTAAATATTCTTTTGTTCTTTTTTGAATTTTCTCACCTGTGATATCGAACAACCTTCACAGAAGTGATATATTTGTTTGCTATTAGCGCAGGATCGTCTTCTAAAGGCCATTGAGCGCTCGTAGGCTTTGAAAAGGTAAAGCTATATCACATCTTCTTGGAGCATTGCAATTCTCCAGGCTGAATTCTGCGCTCTGATGAGAGGTTAGCAATTATCTAACCTAGTGAGCGGGTGCCTAATACTGCTATCAACTTTAGGGAGGAAACATTGCTAAGAACCCTACTATGTACATATTCTACCATATATTCTGTACAGGTGTTCAACTGCTTGCAAACACTCATGGGGTACCATTGGGCTTTGAAGAAACTCCAACCCCTACCCCGCCCTCTCTTCATAGTACTTCCGCACTACACAACCCTCCAATCCCTACCGCAACCTTCGCTCTAAACTGCTTCTGCCCCTACACGACCTCCCTCAGCACCCCTCGATTACGTCAATCTTAACTGTTGACACGCTTCTGTACTGTAGACAGACAGGTAATTTAGAATAAAAAATCGGGGTTCAGTGTACAGAATTCCAGTTACGATTTATGCATATACTTTTGAGAAAGCGCCAACGAACGAATATTGAGAAGTTTTTCGATGCGCGCAATGCAGAAGGGAAACAGAAAATTCAGATTTTTTCACATTTCTTCGGGATTTTGACCACGGATTTGTTGTATTTTTTCTGCGCATTAATAAAACCTTCAAAAGTAGAGGTTATGAATGAAAAATTTCCCTTCGAAACCTTATTTCTATCGAGGTTCCAACTTCTCATCAATCGTCATCATTCTCGTAATCAAGATGAGGTTGTGCACAACTTAGGAGAGGCGCGTAATTAAGATAATGTCATCTACATCGAGATGCGTAGTGTCCTCAATCGTACATAACTTTACATCCATCGTAGATAAGTTCCTACGTCCCTATTTTGGTGCAGCTTCTCATGTCCATGCCCTCCCATCTCACATTTATGGACTGTTTCGGTGCACTGCGCTCAAGTGGTTCACGCGTTATGGAATCCTTTGATCAGCTTATACATCAAATCGAGTACTCGAATCGATTACTTTTCGTCAAGATTCAAGTGGTATTCCTACTAGTCTCTGAAGTCGCTCACCGTACGGAAGGAGCAGCGGTGAGTGAAGGTTTTCTGAACCTTCTCAAGTTCATCAAGTAGTGACCGCTTGTACGGTGACCAGATGGGGGAGCAATACTCCATGGTCTGATTCAGAGGTTGAAAAGTCGGAGGAGCAGCAAAGGGTCACGCTTTTTTCAAGCTCTAAGTAAGAAGTTCGCCCTAAAATTGGATGTAGGCTCTAGTATAATGTAGTTGAGAGACCTCCGCTTTTTTCAGTATTGAGCGCTAGAGCGCAGGTAAGGAGGTTAGCCCGTACTCAGCACGTTTCTCAGCTGAGAACATGCAGTTTTATGACCTTACGTCCAAGAGGGTAGGAGCACCGGCGTGGGTGAGTCAATCGGATATTTCGTACTCCGTCCTAGCTTTCGCACGAGGTTTTCAACCCGCTCCAGAGTCTTTTGCCACTTCAGGCTTAGGGAAAAACTATTTCCTTCCTCCCGGAACTATTCGAAGATAAGAATGCGTCGCAATCACGAGGGAGCTACGGCTTTATATAAGGTTGGCCTTTGCGCAGAGACTTCGAATGAAGGCGTGCCACAGCTGAACCTGGCCGTTTGTCACCGTCTGTTTTTGGATGGTTTCAAAGAATCCACGAAGCTTCGGTGAGCGGCTCTCCTTCAAATCATCTGCGCGCCAATCATGTTGGTTTCAAAGGGGGGAAAGGGGGGGGGGGGGGTTGGGGACATTGGAGACGTTCGATCGAATAGTCGCAAACTGGTTCTATCCTTTCAGGCTCTGACTAAGGCTACTACGTTGAAGCAACAGCCTAATGAAGCTTATATCAAAGCTAAAGAACTCAAGAAAAGCGCTTAGTAATACAGCATTTAGATAACTTTTATGATTTATCATCAGGATTTACCCGTCTTTAATTATTTCAAAGTTTCTTGTAATGAAATGAAAGTCGAGCGAATGATTCTGTCTAGATAATTTATCAGTGCCAATCACCTTGCTTTTGATTACTTGCAATTTGAACCCATAGTTGAATGTTATTTAAATCCCGTAAAACATGTTAATTCTAGGAGTCGTCAACCCAAACCATTGCATAGAGGAGTGGATTGATGACCGTGTCGATATCCTCTTTTATGAGCGATTTTTCAATTGGGAAATTGCCAGTGGCAACTATATAGTAAACTAATTTTCTTTTACTCAATGCAGGTGGTATACCTCTCTTTCAGGTTCGGAATACGGAGTTCGCTGTGAAGTTTCTACAGGACTGGGGTAATTGGGAATTCACTCAACCCTCTAACTGGAATGGAGCAGATAATGGCGTCTTGCAGGTTATCCTCAAAATTGTTATAGAAAATTCACCGAGTTGTTTTAGGCGTTCCTTCAGTCGAACTGTATCTGAATTTCGCTCTCCCAATCTGGGTTGCTAAGGGTGCGTTAACGCTCGTCATAATCGTATCCCTCAGTCAACAAAAATCATCCCGTTCGATACCACGCTCATGCTCCCCACTGCGAGCGATCTGTTCAAAGCGGCAAAGGGCTCGGTAGCCGTCCACGAAGAGAAAATAGGAGAAGCCTCACTGATTCCCAGATCTTAACAGTCAAAATCTCTTCGTAGTTCAAAAGATTCTCCTGGGAACCTTTTCATTAGAATTTCCCTCGAGGAAGGTAATTTTCAATAATTCTAATCTTCTACGCCTTAGGTACATTTCAAAGTCGTGCTTGAGCGTGCGCCCAATCGCAATAACTCAGTCGCGGAAAATCACTGTGTTTTTCAATCAGTGCGCTTCATTGTGTATGAACGGTACAGTCACTTAAAAAAATTTAATTCTTCCAGCTACTTATCATGAAAACAGTGCTTCCATCAGCCACTCAAGAGACAAAGAATTGCGATAATGTGTGGCACAATGCATCGGATTACGACACCTACTTAATTTACGTATCATGTGTCAAGCAAGCACTGGGGGCAACGAGACTCTGGCCAGGAAAGATCAGGATCTATCACAGAGCCCATGGATGGGTTCGCGACGGATTCATCACAACCGACAAGTAGGTTTTTTGCGACCTCATCTCTCTTATTATAAAGCAGAAACTTGGTGTGTCGGTTTGTCGG